TTTCTTCTCCACACAAAAACGTCTTTCCCTGCAGTGAATGCAGGTAAAATCTTCTCTCCTGCAGGGAGTGCGGGCAGAAAAACATTCTTCTTTATCTGCCGGCCGTTAGTGGAAAATTTTTTCATTCACCTGCAAACTGCAACCTGCCTGCACTGCCTGCAGGTTGCAGGCAGTTTACAATGCAGGTGATCAGCTCTGATAGACACATCAACAAGTATAATTTATTCATTTGTGCATCTAGTAGATCAGTAGAATGCAAGGTCATGTCCTCTATAATATAGTACCGTAAAGAATATCAATATGTGTACCGTTCTCTTACCTACCTTGTTCAAATATGGACTAATTTTTCTAATTAGTAATTACGTTAATGAGTTCAGGAAAGTTCCCAAATCTTTCTAAGATTTTGATACAGAATTTTGAAGATATGTCAGACTCGGATCCATAGTTAATCCTGAACAAGATTTTGATCAAGAAATTTCAAGAACCAAAATCTTTAAAGAACTTATGCTGATTTTGACTTTCTGTAAGACGTGGGAGTATTTCGTTTTACGTGATTATATACAAAGAAGAAATCTGAGCATTCTAAAGTCACTTCATGTTTTATATTCTTCTGTAGAAAAATGACGGATACTACAAACAAAAAAGAGCGAGCGCATGAAGAAACAGCTAAACCAGAATTAGAACTAACAGAATCTGTGGTCGCCAATGATAATAATAATGATGATGATGACGAAGTATTAGAGAATAAGATGGAAAATCAAGACGAACCGACGCATGTTACTACAAATTTACTGCACAGTATTAACGTAGTAGAAGCACATAAGCATAAAGATTATGGTGGTGCTAAAGGACATGACGAAGATGAACAAGCGAAAAAAGTTAAACAGAAGAGACAGCGATTTCATGTTGATCATTTGAAAGATTTATTTGAAAATGAAATGGATGCTGGTTATGTACCGTATAACGAAACAAATGCTGAAGTTGTAAAGTAAGAATTAGCGGTTTGACGTAATCTGTACGTGTAACTTACGTATCAGAGTATGAAAAGGGTATAAAGAATGAGGATTTTTTTTATTGTATTACATAAATAACGTTAGGGGCGCCAAAAATAAGGACTGGTCGTCCTTTCAATAATAAACTGTAGTTTTGAACTTATATCTGGAGAGAATAGTAAGAATATCCCCGCCTTACGATTACCGGTATAGGATGCGGACAAGTGTCAGTTTCAATAGCTCGACATATCCTCCCTACACTTTACAAACTTCTGTCATGGTCATTCATGTCACTACTAGTCATCAGCCGTAGCTTTGGTCTGAAGGTTAGCCGGAAGCAGAGTTCTTTCGTCGTAGATCTTGAGCTCCTCTCCCCATACACTCTCACTAACGACGTATTAGTGTCGGACCAACCACGGAGACTAACCGAAGGAATTGTATTGCATGTCAGAATCTAATCAGCACGCGATCAGACGGATGATCCGAGGTTACAAGACCTAAGTAATTTGCCAAGATGATCACTCAACTTGATGGTGCAGAGGTTCGAACGCAGTATTTTCCAAGTACGTGACAAACACTATAGTCACCAAGTCATGCTGTTCCTATACACAGACAGTGTACTCTGTCAAGTTTTTTTTAATTTTATTCAGACGTTTTTGCTCCAAAATGCACGAAGATGATCAACCATTCTATATTGTTAATTTATCTCATTTTGCTCGACAATATTATCAATGGATCCATTATTTGGCGCGTGTTAAACCATTCTTTGCAGTTAAATCCAATCCAAGTGCTTTTATTATTAAAATATTAGGACATATTGGAGCCGGTTTCGACTGTGCTTCAGTAGATGAATTAGATTTAGTCTTATCTACGTGTAGTAATATTGACTGTGGAAAACGTATTATTTATGCACATCCATGTAAACCAATTTCACACATGAAATATTTTCGAGATAAAGGTGTTGAAATGACAGTGGTTGATAATGAAGACGAGTTACATAAATTAAAAGAACATTGGCCTAATGCAAAAGTGCTGGTTCGATTGAAAACGAATGATAGTCATTCCAAGAGTCCTTTTAGTACAAAATTTGGTGCTAATGAGTGTGAAATTCGGAGATTATTAACATTAGCCAAACAACTTGATATACATTTAGTCGGATGTTCATTTCATGTTGGTAGTCGATGTTATGATATAAATGTTTATAAAGAAGCATTAGAATTTGCACGAAAAATATTCGATATAGTTCACGATGAAGAATATGGATTTCAATTTTCGATTATAGATATTGGTATGATTTTGACAAAAATTTTTGTTTCTCATCTTCTTTACCGTTTCTCTATTATTTTCTGAAGGTGGTGGTTTCACTGGACATAACTGGGATAAACCGTCGTTTCCTGAAGTGGCACAATCGATTCATGAAATGATTAATAAACTATTTCCAGAAAAGAAAGGTAATTTCTTCCAATCACTCCTAAATACATCGTGGTCAACTAGCTCTGCTACCAAAGTGAAAGTCGGATATTTTTTCCCTTGTATATTGTTTCTTTTATAGTTTTCGAACAGCGACGTGCACAGAGCTCTAAGACGCCTCTATTTAAAGGAAAAAGTATACTAAAAGCTCGTAGATGTTCCCACACTCTACACAATCTTTCGTTCAAAGCCTACAATAAAAATACACATACCTACTATTCAAATATCGAAAAAGTAGATGTTTGTACTTTTATTGTAGGTTTTGAACGAAAGATTGTGTAGAGTGTGGGAACATCTAAGCGCCTTTAGCACACTTTTTCCTTTATATTGAAGCTGCTTAGAGCTCTGTGGCTGTCGTGCTAGTTGACCAAGCCGAGTAGAAACTGTAGGAAATATATGTTTTCTAAAAGAAGAATTCTATATTGTATATAATCTACTCACGAACAGCAAATAACGTGTCTCTTTTGAGCATAACTCACTAAGTAACAGGTAGGGCAGAAGAAACAGACCTCTCAGTATTTTGTGATTTTCTCCTGTTTCTTAAGTCCGATTGTGTTGGTCTTCTTTGTATTGGATTCTCCGTTGAATCGACATGTTAGATGAAAAACCTAACTCAGTACGTGAACCTCCGATTGTAAGGTCACCTATTACTGAAGGGTTTCAAACCATGCTCTTTGGTTTGTGTAGTGGACATTTTTCTCGAAAATCCTCGCAAGTAGGTTATCTGGAAAATCGCGGTTTTTCACATACAGGTTCCGAATAAATTTTTTTCTAGAAAATCCATCCAATGATGGAGCATTTCTAATTACATGGCTACATTCAGCAAACAATGGACTGCTTTTTGAAAACAAAACAGAGTTTCCAACTATGAATTAAAATTTTTTAAATTAAATTTAAAATTTTAAAATTTAAATAACTCGCAACTCGAAAGGGATGAAGACCTCGACCATACGACATTCCATAGGAAGTTGAAAGCTGAACAAACATAGGGAGTTGCGGAATTTTCAGCTAAACGTTTGTATCAAAATATTTTCTCAAAATCCTTTACTGGCTTCTTGATCAAAATTTAAGAAGTCTATAAAACCTTCAGTTTTTAAGCTAGATATCTGGTTCAACTGCCATTGGATAAAGCTCATCGAGATGCATATTTGTCAACAGTTATCCGATGATCGAATGACCTTGAACGTTGTGATAAACTATTACGTTTTTCCTAGTTGTGTTTCCTATGGCAAAAGGCGTACATTATACATTAGAAAGCTGTCAGCCTGCAATACTGCTGCTAGATTAGGCCTCAATCTCCTGAGCGACTTTTCCTTTTACACTTGTGTCATATGACGCATTGTCCAATGAAATAGTAAATATTTTGAATGCTAGAACCATTTCATCGCCGGGAAACGGCTAGGAAGAAACAAAAAACTTGTCACAACGTTCAAGATCATCCGATCAGCGGATAACTGTTGACAGATATACATCTCGATGTGCTTTATCCAATGGCAATTGAACCAGATCTCTGGCTTAAAAGCTGAAGATTTTATAGACTTTTTAAATATCGGTCAAGAAGCCAGTAAAGGATTTTGAGAAAATATTTTGATACAAACGTTTAGCTGAAAACTCCGCAATTCCCTATGTTTGTTCAGCTTTCAACTTCCTATGGAATGTCGTTTGGTCGAGGTCTTCATTCCTTTCGAGTGGCGAGTTATTTAAATTTTGAAACTTAAAATTTAATTTACAAAGTTTAGCGGAAACCCCAGTATGTGAAAAACCGCGATTTTCTCGATAACGTACTTGCGAGCATTTTCGAGAAAAGTGTCCCGTACACAAATGAAAGAGTATGGTCTGAAATGCTTAAGTACCGGGTGGTATTAAATTCGCTCAGCACGGGAAAGAGATATGACACACCAACCTTCTCATCCAACAAACCTATTCTCTACAAAAAATGTGTTGAGTTTCTTATTGCAAAACACGAGGGTGAAAAGTGACAAGAAAAATTGTGCATAGTACCAAAACGGACAAAAAATAAAAAAGCAGTTTTTTGATTTTATTCGATAAACGCTTGCGGGAGGAAAACAGCTAAAGTAGCCATCGTGTTGCCTCTGAAAAGCTCTATCTACCATCTATAATTAAAAAATCTTCATTTAGAGCGTAAGAACTTTATTATTTTTTCTAAAAGCGACTATAAGTTTTCTACCTCAAAACGCGATATATATGCGCCACTGGCGATACATATTTGTCGAATTCTATTGTGCACCGTCAGAGATAATTAAAGGCCGCTTTTTTTAGACTTTTTTAGAAGTATTTTTTATTTTTGGGTTTAATATAGTGCATTATAGAGTAAAGTGTCCTCTACAAAATAGGACCACTCCTAGCTCTACAATCCCATTGTGTACAAAACCACTTAGGAAAAAGTTTTATTTTTTCCTCAACAATCTCGAACGCAAACTACGAACTTTTTTAACCTTTTTTATACTAAATGCTGTGGAAAGAGTGCGTGATTATTATTCACAGTTCAACAGGGTGGTACTTGTATATTCATTGTAGTTAGTATTATACAACTTTTCATGAGCTACAAAATAGCCTATCCTAAATTGTTTATTACTGTTAACTTTTATTGCTTAGTTTATCGTACGCTTCTGTCATTTTTATTCTTCCTCCTATGCCATGTTCGTTTAATCGATACTTCCAACCACGTTTCTGTTATAAATCTGTATCATGCGTTTCTTGTGAATCAGTTACAGTTGTCAGTGTGTGCAGAGTGTTCATGTTATATGTGCACGTAAACAGTTATTGATTTACTTGAGAATTTTCTTTATTCAAAGACACTTTTTTCCAGTTTAATAGCGTTATCACATTGGCTAATTATACAAAAAAGATTGATAATCGTTCTAAATTCATCACGGCATTTCCGTGTAAGGAACTAAAGATCGAAGTAACCGGATAATTGAAAAGTACCGTTGTCACAGAAAAATGAGCACTTTTCGATAGAGACAAAAATTTATGGCAAAGGTTAAGGAAATTCAAAAGTCGAGCGCTTTTTCTTTTTCGGCCTCTATGCATGATTGGATAGAGGTCGCTGCGCTGAATCCGAATATGTATGATTTGACCGCAAAAAAACATTTTTTGTGGCGAAAAACTCAAAAAGCCTGCAAAACTTAAAGGTTCGAAAAACTGTCTAATTTACGAAAATCGGCCTATATGATCTAAACAATTCTTTCTAGACTTTTGCAAATTTTGCTTTCTTAATCTATGTGAAAACTGAATCTAAAAACCTAGTTGCTGATCATTCAGCTATCATCCGGATGGGTGATAATTGAAGATTTTTCCGATATCTCGAAAATCACTTGTTTTTCCTGCCAAAAGTTTGAAGTCCTTTTAGATATGAGATGAAGCCAAAATGTTTACATCATTAGACTTGCGAGATCAACATGAAAAAAGTTAAGCATCGGTTTTGGAAAATATTGCTTAGAAAATTACTTTTCTTAAAACAGACAACAAAAAGGAAGGAAACGCACTCGTATTTTGCAGCTCTTGACGTCAAACTTCAATTTTTTTAAAAACAAATGTCACATTTGAAATCAGCACCAAAAACTGAATTGGTTGATGTGCGTTTCAGGTGTTTGAGACAGCTTTGATTTTTCAGCAAAAATCTCGGTGAAAAAGTTGTTTTTGACCGCAAAAGGTGTTCTTTTTTGCGGTCAAATCATACATATTCGGATTCAGTATAGCGACCTCTATCCAATCATGTATAGAAATCGAAAAAAGAAAAAGTATTCGACTTTTGAATTCCTTAACCTTACCTTCTTTTGAACGATGCATTTCTGCAAACTCCTACTAGCAGATTAACAACTTTTTTGTATGCTTTCTTTAACTGGATAAAAAAGCACGAAAAATGAATCTTGTCTCTGACCGATCTCCGTACTGACTTCCGGAGAGCATCTCTTTAGTGCATTACATTGAAAGAAAAAACGTAGCTAACCATATGTTATATTTTTTAAGGCTACCAGTTGATGGCCGAGCCTGGGAGATATTTTTCATCTGGTGATACGATTTTGGTATGCAGCATTATTGCAAGACGTTTGCATAATAAAGAATATAGTTCGAAAGAAGAAATTTCAGAAGCACAAAAAGAAAAAACTAAAGAAAAAGCTTTAATTGAATCAGCGGAAAATATTTACTATATCAATGATGGAATTTATGGTACATTCAATGCAATTGTATTCGATCACAAAGTCTTTATTGTTCATTATCTAACAAAAAGTAATGATAAACAGATCCCAGAACAGTACAAGTCTGTCATATTTGGACCAACGTGTGATTCCATTGATTGTATTGCACATTCAATTGATTTACCCCTATTAAATGTTGGTGATCGTTTATGGTTTCCAGATGTAGGATCATATACAAATGCTAGTGCTTCAAGTTTTAATGGATTTAAAACAAAAAAATATTTTTTTATATGGAGAAATTAACATTCCATTAGTTCAACTCTTTTTCAATTAAATAAGCCTTTGTTTGTTTTCTGTGTAGTTATACGCTGTAGAATATGGCGTATCAAAAATAATACTAACCATTGCACTTAAAAGTTACTTTTAAAGTATAGGTAACGAAAGACATTAAGATACCTTCAGCAAACTGCGCAAGACTGAAATGTAAAATTTGATTTGTCAGATGTACTGCCTGGTGACCATGCATTATTTCTTGACAGCAATTCAGCAGAAAATCATTTGTATATCCAAAAAGTTTACCTGTTTTGAAGAAACCATTACAGAACAAAAGTATCAACAGCGTTTCCATCAATCAGACTATTGTTGCTTTAAGAGCTTCGAGAGCTGGGGATGGTTTTGTTCTGCAGAAATGGGTCATTTCTTTGACAATGCAGAGTCGTCTTTTTAAAGTTTTGCGTTGCTGATCAGCGCGAATCTTTTTTTATTAAAAACCCTAAGACCTAATCTTTTCCTTAAGTAGGCCCTTCTCTGTGAATTTGCACAAAGCAAATCCCAGATGATGATTCCAGCACAAGACAGTATTACTATCATATCACAATAAAAATAGGAACTCATTTTTACAATATCAGAATATTCGCAATAGTATGAATAATAGTTTTAGTTTTCATTTTTATAATAAGAATGGTGATGTTGTTGACAGTTAACAGTTTATTGTGCATAAGAGCAAACAACGAAGTAGTTACGTTTTTCAATAGGTTTAATTACAAAAATTTTTACAGTTGGCCGCAGTGTGAAACTGTGATTGTGTGACTTCAAAAACTTATTAATGCCTAAAAAGAATTAAAGAGGCACACAAGGAATCATTGTTAACTTTAGAAATATCAGAATAAACTTATCTGAATCTTGCGAGGAAGGTATTTCCGGTGAACCAACGCTGGTGACTGTATAATGTAGATCCTTGTCATATAACCTTAAAAGAATAAGAACATAGATTACAAAACGAAAACGCATTATGAACAGAAAAAACCTCCAAAAAAATAACTTGATTTTTCATTAATGTAGCCAAGATAACATTACACTTTTTAATTTTCGAAAAGTATACACATGAGACGAGGTGGGTCATTTTAACGACCCCATTGGAACTCACTGAAGCCGACTTGGAGTGCAGTCGAACTCAATGGAACCAGCTGGCGGCAGCTCTACAGGTCCGGTGGTACCAGATGGTTCCATATGAGTTCCAATGAGCTCCACTTAGTTCCAGTCAGCTTCAGTGAGTTCCGGAGGGTGAGAGCTCATTGGAGCTGAATGGAACTGATTGAACCTCATTGGAACTCATGTGCAGCTGAGTCAAACTATTTGAAACTCATGTGGAGCCATCTGGTATTACCGGAGCTGCTTTCTCCCCCTAGCCGCGCGTATAACTCACAAAAGAAGGAATCAGATCGTCATTTCCGTCTAGCCTAGTTCTGTATAACCGTTTCCAAGTGAAATACTATAATAGGCTTTTCATTCCTTCAACGAAGCGGAAAGAAAGATATGCTACATAAGGGTCCATTTTTAGAAGACCTCTGACAAAATGTTACAAAAAGTAGGCGAGGAGAATATTTATCTGTTCGTGGTTCGACATCTGATTTGGTTTCTATACTACTCTTAAATCCCACAAGAACATGATATTTTCTTAACTCATTTAACATTCATTTTATTTTTCACAGTGGTAAAAATCACAAAAACAACAGTCAGTGTACAGAAAAATGTGAGAAAAATGAGTCTATGACTTTTCATGTGGTGAAGTGGATGTTGATTTGGAGAAAGCAAATGAGAAGGAAGATATTTGCTGCTGTCAGTTTGGCTGGTCCACGCCTTGTTGAGGTAGCGGTAGTTGTTGTTGATGACCATTTCTAAAAAAACACAGTAAAATTCAATTAGATATGTCAACGAAGTATTTACTTACCGTTGACCATTAAATGTGCGAAATGAATAAATGAGGGATTGCTGCTGCTGACCGTTCCTAAAACAGAAAGAAATAAATAGATGAAAAAAAGAAAAAGATATACTTACGATTGACCATAAACCGTGTCCATCAAATAAGATAGGTACTGCTGTTGCTGACCATTCCTCAAATAAAGAGAAAAATAAAAGGATAAAATGGAGAATAGAATATACTTACGATTGGGTGTAAACCGTGTTCAACGGATAAGTCGGTGTCTGCTGCTGACAACACTTAGAAAGATAAAAGAGGAATACACTTACGGCTGGCCATAATATGTGCCCGATCGATAAGTCGGTGACTGTTGTTGTTGCTGCTGACAACACCTAAAACAGAGAGAACTAAAGGAAGAATTAAAAGAAAAGATTATATTTACGTTTTTGATCATTAAATATGCCAGGCGAATAAGTGGAGAGCTAGCTACTGGTGACTACATCTGAGAGGAAAATCCTTACTAAAAGTCCGACCATGAAGGTACTTGATTTTCTTTCTGACTGTGACTAAAAGAGGATCAACAAAATTGAATCACGCAGAATGAACATGAGAAGAAGAGAAAATTACTTACGAAGGTGAGAGCGACAAACAGTTGCCATGAGTGATTAATTGAGCAGGTGGATAGCGATGCGCACTAGAGGATGAAGATGACGTGAGGCACACTAAATCCAACTGAAAGCGATTACTATAGACAAAGAGCAAATCGTACGCACAATTTCCTGACCGCATGCAGACGGAGCATCATACGGCAAGGTATAATGGTCACACGCTTTATGACTTGGACGTCGACATACGTAACATAATTTTTTGTTGCCACGATACCTCTGAAAATAAACGAAAATTAATAATTTTATACGTGTCACAGTTTGATATGCATAATTGTTAACAAAGGGACACATCTCCCATATCTGTTTTTGCACATCATTTGTATGCCGCACTGTAAAAAAGCGGTAACGACAAAAAACGTTGTTCAATGAGTATTTATTTTTGAGGTTGGTATTTCTATCACAGTGTATAACGGATTATTGATTTTGGTCCAAACAATTATTGTCATTTAGATTAACAACAAAATGTGTTCTTATTTATTATTTGAACGAAGGGCAGTGTGACGGGAACATGTGTTCCACTGAACAGCACTTGTGCAACATCAAGGTCAAGTTTGTACAGTAAATTTAATAGATTGATGCTGCTGAAAATCATATGGATTTTTACACTTGACGGACGATAAATGTAATCAGCAACTGTGAGAGACATAAGTTGCCTAATTCGAATTCGAATATAATTCACGAATCAAAAGTCTAATCTTGGTTCGAAAATAACCGGTCCGATTTCAATTTTGAATTAGGAGAGACACTTTACTGTAAAAGTTTTTAAAACCAGAAAGTTTTCATCATAGTATTAATACTGGATGATAGTGTTCATGATAAAGTTTTTCGTTTTCTAAACTCGCACAGAAAAGCATGTATCCCAATTCGAATTTCAGGTTTGATTTGTCGCAATGCGAATTCGAACTAGGAGGAAAATTTGTTTTTTTTTCTAAACTTTTACAGCAAAGGGTCCATTTCAATTCGAATTCGAACTCTGATGATAAAGTTTTTTTTTCGGAACTTTCACAGTAAAGTGTCTGTCGTAATTCGAATTCGAAGTGTGATTTATCCTAGTTCGAATTCGAACGAGGAGAAAAGCTTTATTTTTTTTCTAAACTTTCACAGTATGATGTCTATCCCAATGCGAATTCGATCTATGATGAAATATTTTGGTTCTGTAGAACTTTCACAGTAAACTGTTCTGTGGACCTTTCACAGTTATATTCGAACGCGAATTAGGCAGCTACTCGTGAGAGAAGCCGATACATGAATATCAGATATTAGAAAAACAATAAGCAGGATTTATAAGAAATACAAATTGTGTTTTTGTTTGACTTCAACATGAAATGACGATTTTAATAATCGTATTGTAACATGCACTTCGTTGAGGCAATCAAGCTGTTCGCCACCGACGAAGACGACGTCCATATTTTGTAACTCAGCATCAAAATGAATTGTTATGACTGCGTTCAATACGCAACCTCCGGCTAACACAAATTCTGACATTTTTTATTGCTGATCGCCATGTATCGTACGAATACAGGCGATGTATATTTTCATTGAACGTTTGCTGTTTGTTGACGATTGAATTAGCGGTTGGGGATCAAACACACGATACATGGTCAATTCTAAATCATTTAAATGTCTCGGTACGAACATTTCGTAGAAGACGTGCATATGCTGAGAAACAGTTTGTTCTTACAAAAGGATATAAACTGTTTATTGTTTGAACAGAAAAACTAGACAACGCTCCATCATCTGTACTGTTGTTTTCACGTGCTCAATTGAGTGCTAATGCAAATCCAGAGTCGTTATAACGGAAATTATTTATATCAGCAAAAACACTGGGGGTTGAAATTTCATTCATTTGGATTGTAGCTTGAGATTGCGATAAATTCCAAAAATTACGATTATCCATTGAATAAATTTAGAATAAAATTATAATGAAAATAATCTGTTTTGAAACGCTAGAAAAAACAGAATGACTTTCATTATATGCGAATATTTTTTTCCGATAATTTATTATCTCCCAGGAAAGTTTTGACGATAAAAGCTTTATGGCAATTAGTTGTTCTGTTCAAGAAAAAAAAAACTAATATTTCATTCGTTTTCGTATTCTTTATCTGTTCTCTCTTAGAGAAAGAAAGTTAGTTATCTGTCGGATCAATGGTGGACTTTTTTGGATCACTTACATGAACTACGAGAGTTTGAGTAATATATTTTTGAGTGCTAGTGGTATACTTGAAACTCAGAGCAACTTTACAGAGTGCTTTTCTTAATTTTTATATTTCCATTAGAAAGCTGAGACCTTCCTCTCTCGAATGATATATTCGGAAAGTGATTTTCTACTTGAGAAATATCAAAAGTCACAGAGAAAAGAAAGGGTCCGAATACTTATTTTGTTCAAGAAGTAGTCGCAGTGTAAAAGAAGAATTATTATAGATCCATGTAACGTA